GAGAGCCGGCGTCCTCGTCTCCTCCGCCCTCAAGCACTTCTCGCAAAGAGAACCCGCCAGACACGTTCAAGAGGGGGGTCGTAAACATCTTCACCATAAAGTCTGGCCAGTGTAGCACAGACCCGTATATGTCTGAGAGGCGTCCGAAGGTCCATTCCCGATACGACTTTGCAACCTGTGGGTCGCCGGATAGGCACATCGCAGCCGTGTCCACCAGGCCGGTGTTTTGAGAACTGATCATCGCCCAGTGGACCGTTTGTGCGTCGAGATTGGTGGCATTTCGTGAGATAATGGCCTCTTCGTCGCCTTTCCATACAATGGGCTCTGGAAACCTTCTTGATGACAAAAAGCCGTGGAAGGCCCGCAATCTGCGCCGCCATCCGACAGTTCTGTAGTCTGGGATATACCGTTGCCCGGCGAGGGTGACGGAAAAAGAGAGGAGGGCACGTATTGTTAAATGATAAATGAGCGAGTAGAAGCTGGAAATGACACTCCAGAGAGGAAAGAAGGCCCTGGATTGAGGCGAAAAGTAACACATTGATGGATCCATCGAGGGGATGACCGTTGTGAAGATAATAAAAAGCATGAGCATCCCAACGAACGTCGCAGTGGCGGAGAAGACGAAGACGTCGGAGTGGAAGAGGAGGACGAGGAGGCCGGCGAAGAAGAGAATGACGGCGGCGATCAGAAGGAGAGGCACAAGCGAGATGATAGCAGGAATGTACGCCTTTTCGAGGGTCGAGAGCCGGTAGATGCGACGTCGTGTGATTGGTGCGGAGAACCCGTAGAGCCCGGTGTTGTACTCTTTGAGCCATTGCTTCACCGTGATTCCGATCGTCGCCGACGACATGCTGAAGGTGAGACTTGTGAACCAGAGCGCATTCACCCATACGGCCCAGGTCTCGGGGCGAAACGGGGTCGGCACGATGTCCCCGAACGCCAAGGCGGTAGAGTTGACGAAGGAGGGATTGAGCGCAAAGCTCTTCAGCTGGGCAGACACCTGAGTCAAGATCGCGTTGGTTTGATCGCTCGATTGAGGCTGGAGCATTGCGAAGGCAATGGTGTTGAACGCGGTGAGAGCGGCGGAGAACAGACCATCCTAAGCGATCGCGGGTGAGGGTCACTGCCGAGGCACAAACGTCGAGACGTACAAAGGTCAGGAGGCCGTCGATCTCCTTGTTCCACTGGTCGACGAGCTCGTCACTATACTTCTCCACCGTCTTTCTGGTCTCGTTCCACGCCGCATCGATCTCCGCCTGCTTGAAATTCTTAGTAGGCAGTATCTATCGTTCAGATTATTCGGCATGTATCAATGCAAACGAGTGAGATGCGGGACGTACTATCACATCGTCGTGAATATCCGGCAGTTCTTTATCTCCTGCTGCTAGCGATGGTTTGATACGAGTCTGCGCACCCCATGAATGTCTATCTGGCTGCGGGTGAACGATATACTCACAGGTTCGATCCCACCATTCTTCCGTTCCGTTCCAATCCCCTCGTTTGCCGCTTGTGGGGGCTAATCGATAGTGGGCATACGAGAGGGACGTGGAAGGGTTTGAAATATACCTTCTTGAATTCGTGAAGAATCTCCTTCAGCAGGGCGCATATATTGTCAAGAGACGCGTTCACCTGATCGAACTTCGTGAGTCATTGTAGGGTCTGAAAAGAGTGACATACATACTGGGGTCGTCCCGGCGGAGCACGTATCCTCGGGGAGACGAGCGGTCTCTGCCAAGTCCCGATGATCATCTGCAGAGGTTCGTTGAAGGAACGATTGCGGCGAGGTCTGGGTGTGAGTGCATCAGCCAGTCGTTCGCCTCATTGGGTAATTCACGTTTGTGCGCACCGGAGCGCGGGGTGAATCTGTGGCAGAGACGGTCGGCCAGGGAGGCATAGTGACTGGTGAGGCTGACTGGGATGGAGTTTTTCCTGAGCGCTGGATCTTGCAAGACGGGATGTGGGTGGGGACGTGGGCGGGGACTAGGACGAGTGAGCGGTAGGTGAGCTGAAGAGGAACGACGCCTACCCATGTTGGACGCATGCGCTGACCGCGCGAACTCGGCGAGGCGACGGAGATTGAGCCCAGCATCCAGGGAGGATCATCTCAGATAGCGTTATATGAATGCTCTCGTCCACGACGTGAAGTGCGAGGCGCTCCGTGCGGCGTATTCAATGCGTGCCTTGACCATGCCACCTACTCGCTGTCACAATCCAAGTCGGCGGTGTCAGCAGCTACTCCCAAACCCAAGAAAGACGATATGTACCCGAAGTCGAAGGCGGACCGGTCGATCGTGCTTCTGAGCTGCCTTGGAAAGCTCTGTGAGAAGGCGCTGGCGGTGCGACTCCGGAATCCACTAGTACTTCAACGAGGGTGGCACTTGTCGCAGTTCGGCGAGACGTGACGAAGCAGAGGCCTATAGTCGATGTCCGACGCTGGCCTCTGCTCGTGCATCAAATTCGCCGGGCGTGGGCGCGCGGGATGGTCCGACACGTCCGTTTTCGCGTTCGACGTCGCACAGTTCCGCCCCCGAGGGCGCCAGAGATACGCGCCAGTGGAGACGCGCCCAGGTGGGCGGCAACGGAGCGAGAACGCGAGCGGTGCGCACCATCCTCATCCCCCCATCTGTCTCGTTTTCACGCTTTGCGCCCCGTTCAGGCGTCCACCCCGCTTGGTGCCAGCCATCTCCTTTGCCGAATCTGCTAGTGGCGCCCACGACACGCACGACACGCGAGGATGGGATCCGGACGTGAAGAAGCTCGTCCATCCGCCTCACCCGCTTCACGCCCTCCACCGCGCACCCCGCCTCGGCCAAACACCCAATCGCGGGTGCCCGGTGCCGCCTTCCCCTCCTGCTTCGCCCGTCCGGCCTACCACACGGTGGACACCTGCGGACGTCCACATGGGCGTCCTCTACTCGGAGATGAGGATGCTGGGGTCGCCATGAGTTACGGCGACCACTAGCTCGGTGAGCACACCCCGTCTTGTGCTCTCCACCTTGCTCTCCTCCGCTCTTGCGCACGTCCTCCTGGTTCGCGCGAGCACGTCCGACTCCTCGTGGGTGCGGCACGGCGTTGCTGCCGGTGTCACTTGTCCCCCACTCTCCACCTCACCCTCCTTTGCCTCGCCCTCCTCCACTCTCGCGCGCGTCATGCTCATCCATGCGGGCACAACCTAGCCGCGCTCTACGCGCTCGTTCGACTCGCCGGCGCGCAGCACCACGTCCCCGCCAAGATCGTCGGCAGGGCTCGCAGGGAATTGGTGATCATCGAGGAGGTTGAGCGCAAGCAGTTTCGAGTGAGTCCTGACACCATTAGCACGCGTTGCTGTACTCATCCAGGGAGCACCCTCATCACCTCTTACGCCATACACGTCAGTAACGGCACCTCTTCCCTGCTGAAAGCTGACCTTGAATGTTTACCACAGCATCTCGCCGACCCCCGGCACCCGCATCCAAGCGAAGGCACGACACCATCCAGATGGACCGGCTCGGGCTCCCCTCGCACTCGGCGGACGGGCAATGCAGCTGGCAAGACGCGTTCACCTCGTTCGGTGAAGGCCACGGAGGCTGCGGGCGTCGATCTGATGTACGCGGACCTGCGCGCATGCTTGTCGCGCGCGATCGCTTTCCCCTCCTCGACGACTCCGGTCCCTCGTCACCTTCACCGGCGATGACACGACGACGCTCGACGACTTCGATTCCCATCCGCCTCCCCGTTCCGCACGCCAGTGGACGGTCCTGAGCGCTTGAGCCACGGCGGCGGTACCGCTCTTCGTGCGTGTCTCAAACGCCATCAGGCGCGCCCCGTCGCGAGGTTCTGGGGCGACAAAGCGGATGGGTGGAACGCTACGCACTGCAGGTCCGCATGCTCCATTTTCTCGCCCCGCGGTCGCTGACACCGTGCGGTCTCTTTCTCCCGACAGCACTGCGATGCCGGCACGGCCTTCGAGCGTGTGTCGGGAACGGACACGGACGGCGACGTCGACGTGAGGCCCTTCGCCTTGACCGATCCCACTCTGGCCTACCTCCAACTTGGTGCGTCAGAGCGCGGCGTAGAGCAAACGCACGACGACGACAGTGAACGCGGGATGCAGGCGTGTGCCGTGCCACTACTCGTGCGCGCGGCGCGGTGCATGTCTAAGGTATTGACACGATCGCGAACCGGCCTGCGGGCCTGCGTGTCAGGAGGAGTGGGGCTTAGACTCGTCAGAGGAGTTTAGAGTTACAAGACAGCGCCTACGGTGCATATATACATGCGGTGCTCTACAATACCACTGTGTAATGCCATGGTGTTGAGCGCACGAACCTCCACGGGTTTCCGAGGGTCCACCATGTGTGTGCACGGGTTGGATGACCCGAACCCGTACCCGAGGGAACCGTACCTGTGGTGATGCCTACGGGGTACAGGCTACATATGTATGATCCTCGTTCGCGCACACCCCTCCTGCGCACGCGTCGGCCTTCAGAACAAGAACCGCTGACGAAGGCTGAAGCACGTCCATTTAAATATCGTACTCCAGTGAGCATCCGGAGAACGTTCGCACACGTACTTATGGGTATGTTTATTCGATAGAGTACGACAAGACGGAACACCGAAAGTATCGGCACGAAGGCACGACAAGAACATACACATTGAGCAATCTTGGGCGTCGCCGACGCGACTAGTCCGCACCGTCCACGTCCGCGATAGACATCGACAGCTCCGTCCGCAGCCACTTTGCCACACGCGACTCCTCTTCGGGGTCGTCCTGCTCCTGCGTCTGCGGGGGCAGCGACGCCGCGTATCCGATCCTTCGTCGTCACTCTCCTTCGGCAGCGACTTGCGCTTCACCTCGTGCGCATCGGCGACTTCCCGACCCGTGTGTCGTCTTCGAGCGTCTTGTTTTATCGCATCGGCCCGTGGCCTCCTTCATTGCGTGACGCTCGGCGGGCTTCTCCACGGGCTCCTCCACAGGCCCCCACCGACCTCGCCCAGAGCCTCCCTGCCCACGTACGCATGTCCTATGAAGGCGCCGGGAGCTCCTCGCCCGCCCGCCGCGCCCGCGACAGCACCTCCGACCGCCGCTGAAGCCTCTCGCGCTGGGTCCCCTCGCTTGCGGCGGACCGCGGGCGCGAGAGCACGTGGCCGTGCTTGAACACGTCGGCGTCGGCGTCGCGCACGGGGGCCGCCGCGCGCTCGGGCGACGGGTGCACGGCGAGGATGAGGCTCGGGGCGTCGAGGGACATGCGCGAGCCCGCCGCGGAGCGCATCCATGCGTCCTGCTCCCCGTCCATGCGGAGCAGCGACGCCGTCCCGGGCAGTCCCATCAGCGGGGCGGAGGGCGGAGGGGTGTGCTCGAGCGTCGCCGCCGGCCCGCCGTCCGCGATGGAGGGGGCGGAGGGGAGCGACTGGAGCGACGCGGTGCGAAGCGCGGGGGGAGTCGCGGGGAGCGGCCGGGGCGCGCCTTCGAGCTCGGCCTCGGTCGCGAGCCACGGGTGGTACAGCGCACTGAGCGACATGCGCTCGCTCGGGAAAGACGCGTGGAGCGCGCGGATGAACCGCTCGGCTGTTGGTGTGTGCGGGGCCCAGGTCAGCTCGCGCGGCTAGGAAGAGGGAGGGCACACGCACTCTGCTCGCTCACGTCGCACTCGTACAGGAGCATCCCGCACCCGGCGGGTCGTGATGTTGGTATGGATGTCCGTGTTCGGCAGGTCTGCATCGAACGGGGTGCCCTGCATGAGCCTGAGAAGAGAGAATAGTCGGCGTGGGGAGCTCGGTACGTCGTAGATGAGGCGTTGTGTAGACCGCGGTGCGCCCTGCGTTGAGTCAGTCCAGCCTCGTCGCTGGGCGTGACGGCTCTACGAGATCGGTGGGCGTACGCCGGACAGCGGGGGTTGGGCCTGGGCCCGGCAGAGCCGGGCGCGGACGCGGAGCGGAGCGAGCCGCCACCCCGACCAGACCGCCCAGGTTCTGACTGCGGCCGCTCCGCGCCGCCGACCCAACCACCTGCGGCGGGCTCGCGCGCTGCCCCTATGAGTCCTGTTGGTCCTCGACAACTGCGCCCAGGTGCTTTGACACGACGAGCTCGAAGGAGCGCACGTACACCTGGTAGGCCAGTGAGCGCCATCGCCCCATCATCTGCACGACGTCCGGGGGAGTGCCTGCTGCAAGGTAGTGGGATGCGCCCCCGATCCGGAATGAGTGACCGAAGGTCGCTTCAAAACCTCGCTCCCGGAGCTTGTTGTTGACGCAGTCGAGGGCCGCTTGGCGCGTCAGCGGGCGGATGCCAGACTTGTCTCGCCAGCTGAAGAGGGGATCGTCGGCTGCTGCAGGCACCACAGTGGCAAGGTTTCGAAGCGCCAGCAGAGGGCAGACCGCGCTCGGTTGCCGCACCAGGAACACGCGCTGCACTTCACCCGCTTTGGCCGTTTTCGCGCGAGGTAGGTCCAGGCGCGCGTACTCAACACCCCGTTGGTCCTTGCCGAAGAACGCGTGCTTGCGTGCGAGGTTGCTGCCTGGGTTATACGCCGTGCGGGACCGCACCGTAGCCTCGCCGAAGCGCATGAGACCCCAGAAGGCGCATGCTGAGGCCGCCCACACGCAAGCTTCGAATGGGTTGTCCAGCCGGAGCGATGTGTGCAGGGTTTCGAGCATCGCGAGGGTGAACGGTGGGCGTGGGGGTTTTGAGCGCCGGTCCGCCTGAAGGTTCTCAATGCCGCGCAGCGACCACTCTATCCGCGCCTGGTCGCGAGGCGAGAGCGGCTCCTCCCACCCCTGCGCGATGTGCCACGCGCGCACGGCGGAGAGGTACTTGCGGGTTGTGCTCACTGAGATGGGCTCCAGGGGGTACCGGTGGGCCTCTGCGCGCTCTCCCAGCTCGGCGATTATGTCTGGGTCGGCCGTTGCCCATAGGCAGAAGGAGTGAAGGAGGATGAATGAAGCTGGGAGTCGCTCCTGTTCTGGGATCTCCCACAGGTTGCAGAACTTGTGGAACTTGCTAATACCAGAGCCGTAACCCGGAGCCGTCGCACCCCGCAAAGTCGTTCGGGACACTGTCCGTGCGAGGTGCTGAAAGGAGATGTGGGACAGGGTGTTGAGAGGGGCCGCGTGAGTGCCATGCCACTGCAGCATCCTCTGCGCGGCGGGAACTGCAGGCCGGAGCTGGGACGAGCTTGGCACAGGCGCCAGCGTGACCTCGGTCGGTGCCGCGGGTGGGAGCAAGTCCGACTGGTCGACCTTGGGATCTTCAATGTGGAAGATGGCTAACACCACCTGGCAATCAGGTCGCGCAGGTGCGGTGGTGTTGAGAAGTCGCTGCTGGTAGGTGCGGCGCCGGGACACCTCTCCAGGAAGCCTGCGATGTCGCCGCGTGAGAGCGGGTCGGCAACGTTGATCTCCGTGGCCACGTAGCGTGCTTCGACCGACAGACCGTGTTCTGCCAAGAGTGAATAAAGGCGGCGCAGGATGGTGTTCGTGTTGGGGGATCTTGCTCGCCCGGAGTTCACTACCGCCACTACTCCCGTGTTGTCCGAGCGCACGAGGTACCTGCGCCGACTGGGGGGGAGGCCTGCTGGAATCTGATGGTGGATGGCCATCATGAGGCCAAGCTCCACCGCGAGTGCCTCGGCCCAGCCGATGTCGAAGCGCTGACCTGGACCAACTGTGACGCCGGGTGCGTAGGTCCAGATGGCCCAGTGTGATCCGACGACCACCCCGATTCCGAAGGACGAGCTTGCGTCGCCCCACCAGCCAATATCCACGGCCTCGGGGTTCTCCAAGGGAAGCTCGTTGGGAAGGCGCCCCAAGAGCTCCGCGATGTGGCGCAGGTCCGCACGGAAGTGGCGCCGAGGGTGAAGGCGAGCGCGCGGTGAGTCGAACTCCTTGATGAATTCTCCCACGGAGCGAATGAACGGGCGCAGGAGGCGGAAGATGGACGCCGCATGTATGAGCTTGCCTTGGAACGACTGGGCCTCGTGCACGCTCTTGCAAGCGCTGGGCTGAGACCAGTCGAGTACCAGTGCCAGAACCGCGGCCCGCTTCTCCTCGGGGAGAGACACCGTACGGCGCTCCAGGTGCCAGTCGTACCCTGTGAAGCGTTGCTGCACTGCAAAGCGGCGCAGCTTCGGAAGGCTCCATGGCACACCCAAGTTGGCTGTCGTGGCTATGAAAGCGTCCTCGGTGAACTCATGTCCTGGGAAGCAGATGGCGAAGAAATCGTCCACCCACTTCGTCACGTGCCCGAAGCCGCGGGCATGCATCAGGAAAAACTCAATGTGCATATTAGCTCTAAGTTGAACTAACACATCTATTCACCAGACTTTTGGCTCTAATGTGGTCTAAAACACCTAATCACCTGACTTTTAGACCACATGTGAACTAGCACACCTAATAGCAAACATATTAGACTTCACATCTTACTGGTGTGTCTAATGTGGAGCATATTTGCACCCATTAGAAGATGCTGAGAGTATGTGATACTAGCACTCCTAATCCTGCAATCTGAGACTAAACCCTTCTATCGGGACTGGCACTTGCAACATTGACGATTTACAACAGTATAAATTCAAAGGGACGAAATATATTGGTAGAAACCAATGTGAGCTAACTACACTAGAACAAAGACGTCTCTACACCACAGACATGGGCCATACAGGCGACGGTGGATGTGGGAGATATGGGAGACTGACACAGGCAAGGTAAGTAATGCAGGTCGACCGCTCGGCGTCGACGCGGGTGAGGCAAGCAGGCAAGGTGGGTGACACTGGTGAGATAGGCGACGCAGACGTCAACGTGGACTCGGGTGACGCAGACGCCCCAAGCGGGCAATGTGGGTGAGCGATGAGAGCGACGCGAACGTGAGCGACGTGGGTGACACGGACACGGGCAACGCGACGCGGGCGAGGTGGCTGGATACGTAGTCTTCGTCACCGCGGACGCCGCAAAACCGCGTGAGCGGAGAGGCCACGCGCACGCAAACGCGGGTGACGCGTGCAACGCGAGAGGTGTGGGCGAGTAGCTAACGCAGGTGACGCGGGAAGCATGAGCGATGCGGACGCGGACGAGGTGCCGATGTCCCCTCCTCGGCCGCCATCGTCGTGGTTGGCATCGTCATCTGCTGCGGTGGGAGGGCGAACGCAGTCGCCATCAACGCTGCAACGTCGGGCGCACGCCGCAGAGGCACAGGGACGCAGCTCTGCGTTCTTCGTCAACCGCGGCCTCGGCATCTTCGAGGTGGCAGAGCGACGCAGTCCCGTGCATCGGGGATCCGCGCATGTCCGCGCTGCCGTCCGAGTCGAGCTCGAAGTTGGACAGGTTCAGGCGGGAGCGCGTGAGCACCCGTGGCGGGATTTAAGGCAGGGGCGTTGGCGAGCGTGGGCGGGGTAAGCGACGTGGACGAGGTGGGCGGCACGGACACGCACCACGCGACACGGGCGAGGTAGGCGACGCGGGCAGGACTGAAGCTCCCGCGAAGGAGCCGGGGCCGTTGCAGGTAAAGACCCAGCCCCAGCCACGCACGCCGGTGGGATGAGCATCCCGTGCACACCCGTTGGGACGTACCCGTCGTGGGGACGGGGTCGGTGACGCGGCTGGAGTCTGGGAGGTGGTGGGAGAGGCGGGGAGCGCAGGAGGGTAGAACGGGAGACTTACCAAGATCAAGGCGGCCGCAACAGTTCGTCGAGGAAGCGGCGGGTGGGGGGCGCGTTCGCGTGCTCCTTGAAGATGCTGTGTCGAGAGGAAAAGACGAGGAGGATGGGGAGGACGAGGAGAGCGGGGAGGCTGTGGAGGACGGGGAGGATGGGGAGGACGTGGAGGATGGGCACTGCGCGGAGTCAGAGCGACGTGCTGGCAGCGCCGGACGCGTGGGAATCGACGCGCGTTGCGTGGACTCCAGCGCTTGGCACTGCCAGCAGCGTCCTCCGAGTCCTCGACTCCTCGTCAGCTTGACATTGCCCTCGATCCCCTCCGCCCGCCTCCCGTCCTCACCGCCCCGACGCCAACCCTCGCCCCATCCTCTCCATGCCGCCTACCGAGTCCAGGTGCAGGGAGCACGACGCTGACTCCTCTGCTCGGAACGGCCCGCGTCACCACGTCTCCCACCTCACCCGTCTCGCCTGCACCCCGCATCTCGCCCATATCTCTCCTCTCACCCCTGGCCCGTCTCACCCCCCTTGTCCGTCTCGCCTGTGTCGCCCACCTCGCTTGCGTCACCCCAGATCTTGCCCGTCTTGCACCTGCCTCACTTGCATCACCCATCTCGCCCATGTCACCCATGTCCGTCGCCACCTCCGCGACGCCCGCGTCTTGCCCGCGTCGCCCGCTTCTTGCCCGTCTTAGCCTACGTCTCGCAGCTCGAACGCGTCCCCTGCGTCGACCACACGCCTCCTGTGTCCCGCATCCCCTGCGTCACCCATCTCGCCCGCGTCGTCCGTGTCGCTTGCCTCACCTGTTTTATCCATCTTGCCCACCTTCCCCGTCTTGCACTCGCCCGCGTCGCCCACATCCCGCCGTGTTGCCCCCACATCACCTGCGTCACCACCTCGCCCTCGCCTATCTTACTCACATCGCGCCTACCACCTCGCTCTTGCCTGCGTCAGTCTGGCCCGCGTCGCACCTCGTCTATCTCGTCTGCGTCTCACTCGTTGCCCGTCTTGCTCGTGTGGCACGCCTGTCTCGTGTCATCCATTTCGCCCACTTCGTCCTCGTCGCCTGCGTCTCACCACTGTGTCGACGTGTCGCCCGTGTCTCGCTCCTGTGACTGCGTGACCCGCCTCGTCCGCCCACGTTGCACATTGCCTGTGTCCGCGTCGCCTTCGCCCTCGCCCTCGCCCGTGTCGCGTCGCGCGTGTCCGTGCCGCCCACCTCGTCCGCGTCGCCAACCTTGCCTGCGTCGCCTCCCACGCCTGTGTCCACGATCCACCTCGCCCTCACCTACGACACTTACCTCACCCACCTCGCTCTTGCCCATGTCACCCGTCTCGCCTGCATAGATGTGTTGCCCACAAACCTTGTTGAGCTTTGTTTGTAGTCTACTGTGTACCATGTAGTTAGATGAACAAGAATATATTTGCTTATCCTTTAAATGTGTGTGATCTATTGAGTGCATTGTATGAACACAGTAGTCACTACTCCTTGATATATAAACATATTATGGGCTTAATACATGCCTACTGTGTGTCAATTAGTTCTACAGACCTCCACAATTGCAGCAGTTAGACACTGGTTAGACACTAATTAGAGCTAATTAGGACTATTTGGCTCTAAACTTCCAGGGACTTCACTAATTAGTGAAGATCCTCTAATATGTCTAAGTTGCACTAATTAGTTCAACTTAGACCTAATTAGCAAGTTGTGTTTTTCCTGATGCACCCCAGATGTCAAGCCAAGTGCAGACTCAGGACCCGCCCTCGTCGTTCTCTCAGAATGCTCCCCATAGATCTTCCTTCATCTCCCTCCGTTGCAACCAACCTGCCTCCTCTTCCTATGCTTTCCAGGACGACCCCGCCCCTCAGGCGTCCCGCGTGCTCGATCCTCCATGCGCACAAGGCCGCCGCTCGTCCAAGACAGCCAGCCTGCGCCACAAACAGAGCTCCCCAACACCCAAATCCTCCAGCTGCCCGTGGGACACAGCGAGACCGGAACCGGGACCGAGGCTGGAACGACAGAGTCGACGACGACGACGAGCTGCCTGAACACGGCCGGAGCTTCCTCAAAATCCCCTCCGCCGAGCCCCGCACTCCCCACAGCCCGGATGAGAGCTCCAACAGGCCGCGTCGTGCGCACGCTCCAGGCCCTCCACGCACTTCACAGGCCTTACGAGCTACATACCCCGTCCGCGACTCCAACTCGTCCTCCCTCTCCCACTTTGAAGACCCAACGCTACCTATGCCAGTCGACGACTCGCTATTCTTCCGTGACCCGCGCTCTACTTCAAAGGACCCGTCGCTAGGCTCGCCGTCCCGTACCCTGGAAGGCTGAGCACTTCATCAACCTACCTTCACTGAAATCCCGCTTGAGTACGTTCGGAGGACCCAGCCCACACCGGGCATCAAGTGCGTGTTCTACTAGGCTTGTCTTCTGTATCCTCGTCCTCATCATCCCTCCCCTCCGTCGCGCCCGATCGCCCCCAGCAGGATGCTCGGCATACGGAGCTGGCTGTTCGTCGACCCGCCCAAGGACACCATGCCGCAAATGCACACAATTGCCCTCAAATACGTGGGCCTCGGTGCTCGCCCAAATCCTCACTCATCCCTTGGCGATCTGGGGCCCCGCACTGGCCTCGCTCTGCAAGAAGTCTTTCAGCTACCGCCACGTCGTCTGCAGGTTCTACACTGCGCACGCCGTCATCTGGGCTGCCCACTGCGCCCACCTTCCCACCATGCCCCCTGGACAGCTCCGCGTCAGGCTCATGGTCCCCATGCCCGCGGACAAGGCGAAGAACATCCCTGCAGTCGACGCTTCGAATACATACAAGCACCTCGTTGTCCGGCTCCAACTGCCCTACCCGCACCGCAACGCGATCGAGGTGCTCGACACGTACTTGTACACCGACGCACGTTCCCCTCGCTCGTTGCACTCTACGTCCCGCATTCGCCCAGTCTCTCACTTCCTACTTTTCGGGCAATCCATCCCTCTTTCGCTCTCCCCGCCTGGCTTGCGTGCACCGTCCGCTGCGCCCTCCTCTTCGTCCTCCTCACTGCCACCGTTATCTTGTCCGCGACGCCGAGCTTACCAAGCCCAAGCTCATGCCTCGTGCCCCTCCTCGAACGCCCCTCGCTCTCGCCGTCTCTCCTCCCGGCCCTCTTCCCGCACCTAGACCCTCGAGCACGCTCACCACGCCCGGGCCCTAACATGCTTGTCCCATGCTCTCCCCGTCACAGTCGCCGAGTTCCCTGGCTTCCGCGATGGTCTGGAGCATCTCGCCCGCCCGCGTCACCTGCTTCTCCACGTCGCCTGCCTGGGCCACGTCGCCCTCACCCACGTCGCCCGCTTCTCGCCCCGCATCACCCACCTGGCCGACGTCGCCTGCGTCATACCCGCGTCGTCCGTCACGCCTCCACGTCGCCCGCATTGCCCGCATGTCCCGCGTCGCCCACGTCACGTCGCCCACTTCGCCCACATCTTCTGCGTCACCCGCATCTTCCGCCTCGCCAACCTCACCCACCTTGTTCGCTGCATTGCCCCTTCTCACCCGCGTTGCCACCCCACCCACCTCGTCTACGTCGCCTGCGTACCCAGGACAGCATTAAACAACGGGTACGGCAGTGGCGCGTACAGGCTCACGGACCACGCGTACTCAAACGCTGTTGCGCCGGCGTAAGCAAGTTCCCACTCACGACACTGACGTCCGGCCCGACGTTCGACAGCTCGTCCTTCTCGCGAGGGTTCATTCCGTCTCCATCTCGTCCACCACAGTCCACGTCACTCGCATTGCCCTCATCTCACTCTTGCGTCGCTTGCATCACCCACGTCACTGCTTGTCTCGCCACCCACCTGCCTCGCTCATGTCGCCCCCTTGTCGCCCCCGCGTTGTCCGCGTTCTTTCCCATATCGCCCACCTCACCCACCGCACCCGCGTTCGCCCACGTCTCGTCGCCACGTCGCTCGCGTCTCCTGCGCCGCCCTTGCATCAACGTCCGCTTTAATGTCTGTGTCGCCCCCGCATCGCCCACGACTCGCCCTGCGTCGTCTGTCTCACCCTCACGTCGCCACTGCACCGTTGTTCGCCCGTGTGTCACCCAGCGCGCTCGCGTTCACCCACATCTCGTCGCCTCGCCTGTGTTAGCCCGCGCATCATCCACGTCTCACCCCCATCGCGCCCACCTCGCCGGCGTCACATCGCCCATGTCCGCGTCACCCACCCGCCCGCCTCTTGCCCTCGTGTCGCCCAACCCCTGCGTGGCCACCCCCGTCGCCCACATTGCCTACCATCTCACCTACGTTGCCCGTTTTGCCCACGTGTTGCACCTACGGCATTGTCCTTTCAATGTTACTCTAATTAGTTGCAATATATCTGTGTGACATTCGAATTAGTGGCATGGGAGACCAGATACCAGTGAATTACACCAATTAGTGAGAGAGCCACTAGAATTACTGAAATTAGATGATCCACGGCAACACTAGTACCCAATTATCACATGTTAGTTGAAACTAGATCGCCCGGATCTGTTAGCTCGATTAGATGTTCCATTAGGACTAATTTCACGCTGTTAGTCCTAATTCGCATTTTGGGGTTTTCCTGATGTGCACGCGTTTGAATCGGGTTGTTTAGTCTCACAGTGGCGAGAATCTTGCTAAGGTATTCCTCGAGATTCTTTCAGACTTCAATCTGCTCAAGAAGGCGAGTTCAGAATAGTATGAGTGCCTTGGATATTCTTGCTAAGACCTCCCAACAGCTGCTCGCTATTATCACTCGGTGGCAGTGCTGTAGCCCGTCGGTAACGCCCATACGAGGTGCCCGCGTTGCCGTCGGTAACGGCCATACGAGCTCGTACGAGCTCCGGTAATGTAGCCGTCCGTAACGGTCGTACGAGGTATTTTGGAGGAGACCTTTGGCTCCTACATAGGGCCTTTGCACGGCTTCCCTACATGTAAAGAGGTAGTAATTCGTACCACAAACAATGCGAATAGCACTGTGCTACCCTACACCGGCATTACCGAGGCCATCCTTCCTCAGACTCAAGATCCTGGCCCATACTCGGGGCCCTCAAGCCGGCACGCAATTCATCTCCATCAACGCATGGAATACATTGCCGCAGACCTCCGCGGCACTTAACAGCTGCTTGTGTCACCATATGTGCGGTGTTTGTCCCGCAACGGTGGAAACAACCTCGATAGTCGTACGAGCGTGTACCCCGTCCGAGACGGTCGTACGAGCTCCGTCAGCCGGCACGCACCGGAATTGCGGTAATGCATGTAGTACGTAGCCACAGACGTTCTGAGCACATACCGACTTGTTTTAAGGCCATACGTGCGGTGGTTACCCCACGGCGATGCAAACACTGCCAGAGCTCGTACAAGCTCGTATGGGAATGCAATTACATAAGTAAATCAACACCGAAGAGTGACGACGGAGCCGATTGTCGGCATTCAGAAGGCGGAGCTAATACCGAACCTTCAATACCGAGCGCCAATACGGCCCTTATCAACGAACAAGGGGTCCCACTGCTACATCACCAATCCCCCCACTACCATGTGTTTCCTGAAGATCAAAAACGGTGTATACTACGTGGAAATTGTGTCCCGCGTAGTAGAGGTCGCTGTTGCTTTCCTCACCAAGATGATCACCGCTGACCACTTGAAACACAGATATCCGACATTGCCCCAAGAATATACTTGGAGTGCCCAGTGAACGGCTGTGGATCGGTAGAGGTCGACTTAGACCCATATGATGTGGTATATAATGCTGACACCCCAAAGCCGTATGTGCACTGATAATATTCGTCTAGTCATTGGTCTTTCCACGGCCGAAGTTTGGTCAAATGGTTCGGATCCGCGGATTCGTCGAACAGAACAACATGTTTGAGTGCGAAGAGCTCATAACGGCACAAGAGGCGACGTGCACCGACGGTATGATGTAATCGGCTTAATATTTGTGTTCGCTGACTAGGCCTGATAGAAACCTCACCTCGTATGGCCCTGTCCCGGACCAGACCTTGGAAGCTGGAGAAGAATTAAGTCAGATTACGGGATAGGAATGTACATCGTAAACCTTTGTATATCGGTAGGTGTAAATGGACGCATTGTCCTTTGTGTGCCTCGTTACCGGAATGCCGAGATTGCCGATATCAAGCAACGCGCTGAAGAGCGGAAATGTCGGCACAGAGTTCATTGCCGGATACGTGCAATCACTACCGAGGCAGATGTGTCTACACAGCCAAATACAGGGTCTAATCTACTGGAGAGGTTTAGGATGCGCGAGACGGACGGTGCGGAACATCTCTGCGCTCTGCTTCTCCTTTCTCTCCCACATGCGAGCTTGTCCGTTAGCGTAACACTTATGGCAGGGTGACTCCGCCATGAACACGGCCCGGCGGAACCAGTTCTCCTTGAGCCGGGCAAAATCCAGCACCACGCAAAGCATCTCCAGGTCAAGCGCATTCAGGTTCTCCCACCAACGGTCCTTTCGCTCGTAGCCACGCTGCCACATTGTTCGTCGGGCTACAAGATGTCAGGTGTGTTAATGACCAGTGGGCGGAGCAACGTACTTTCATCATTGTACAAGGTGGAGCCCTCTTCCGATGTTCCGGTAAACGTCCAGATCCATGAAGGGTGCTTGTTCCGAGCACCCCTGGTGGTTGCTTCCAGGATCGTGGTGTTGACAGTGAGATCGGACTTTGTGATGGGCTTGTAAATGACCAGATCATCCGATTTTTTCTTGACATCTTCAGGGTCGTTCGGGTCGTACAGGGCAGCGAGGGCAGTGCGAGAAAGCATGTAGAGCCGGACATACTTCGCTACTGAGTGGTCGACCATGCGGATCTCGCTAAAGGAGCGGAGAGATTTGCGGACGGAAGTGGCGTTGCGAACCCGAGCGTAGTAGAGGTAGGACTTGGTGTCAATCCCGTCACGAACACCGGAAAGACATTCGTTCATCTCTCCCTTCCGAAGTTCTCGCTCCGCAAGGACGACGTCTATCAGACCGTGATCCTTGCAATACCGAATACCGAGTGCGGACGGCATGAGAATGGGAAGTTGCTCTGGACTGCCGGAGTCAGTTGCCTGCGGCGTGTTCGCTGTTGCGTCAGTCCCGTAGTCTTCGAGGGAATCCCATTCCTCGCCGAGATCCCCGGGGCCAACGACCAGCCGGGGAGGAGCGTTACTGAGATACTTTGTCGCGTCGGTATTGAACGATCGAATGTCCGATGACAACCGTTGCCTCTTCTCCGAAATCGTCAGTTTCGCCTTGTCGGTAGAGCTCTGCCGCAAGTCCCGAACGAGTCGCGCAATGACCACCCTGAACATGATAAATCAGCATGCATTCTGCCAAACGCATTATTGCACATGTGCCCCAGTATCCACTTCACGGTCGAGCGCCTGTGGTGATTACCGACACGCGAGATGGGGACCCTCGGCATTGGCAATACCGATCATTGAATACCGAGACCTTGACCGATATATTCAGGTGGTGCGGAACTGGCTCACCTCTGGCGGTCTATACTGATTCCCAATGAGAGCCATGCAAGTAAGTCCGCTGAAATCGGATTCTCGAGTGATACCGTGTGCGTGGTGTCGCCGTTCAAGAGAGCCGTCCTGACTTGCGTCTTGTTCGCCGCTGTAGTCTAATGAATATAAGTGTGCAGTTATTAAGATCAGACTCACGTTTGATCTTTTTCGGTGTAAAAATGTCCATGGCGGAGGCATCGGTTTTGCGTGCCTCTCGCGCATCGAGAATCTCCTGTTTCCATTCGGCGCGCTCTTCCTCATTGGCGACACGGTCAATTTCTTGAAAGGCCTCCTTTGCTGCAGTGTACTCTTCCACTGATTCCTCCCACTTGTCAACCAATGACTTCGCTGCCGGGCCGATAAGTACCGATTGCCGAACATGACTTCCGGAAGAGACCTACGTAGACGACAGAGCTTCATCCAATTCGAATCTTGCATGTGAGCGTCGATAACCTCTTTGCGATGCGACGTAGCCATCCCACGAATACTGTCCTTAATAAAATTCAATGGCTTCCAGAGGGTTTCGACAACTTCACCATCTTGATGGCCGACGTTGGGAACGAAGCTCAGCGAATGCCGAGCGTAACACCGATTTTGATGGCCGTGAACGTGGAACTGGCCGATGGCCCAAAAGAAGGTAGCGGCAATGGGCCACTGCAGGAACGGAGATGCTTCGAATCGTTTGCGCGCGTTGATGTGGTACTGACAGGCGATGTCGTAGATGAGGACAAAAGTCGTGTAGCCGGCGAACCACTTCCATGCCCAGTTTACCGAGTAATCCATGTTCC